GATACTTTTTTTCCCCTTTGTCTTTTGATTTTAATCTAGTATATTTGAGAAACATTTGTCTTTAAATGAGCAAAATGTCTGTAGAGGAAGTGGCTGGGCCAAAAAAGGAATGCTATGTTAGTTGCTGAGTACAGCTGAAAAACTGAAATAGCTAGGCGTACAACTGGCAGTAAAATTACATTGGTAAGCAGGATTATCCATATATCTACTAGTAAAATAAAGTAAATGACATCACACTCAGCTGAAATCTGTTTCCATCTGTGGAAACTGGCTTTGTTTTTGTCCACTACATTAGTGCAGTGTGCTGATATCCAATGTGAAATACAAACTGCACTTTTAAAAATAACACTTAAGCTTTTAAATTTGAAAAGTTTTGGAATAATTGGGCACATCCTTGAAGTTCGTTGTATATTTACTGTAGAAATACCAGAGGAGGGGTGTGGTTATAATGCATAGCAGTAGGTGTTGCTAACAGCTTTGAGATTTTTGGGGGTATCAATGCAAACAGGAAAACTATTAGAAAATTCTCGGCTGTTGTAGCTCTCTGTGTCAATGATACTGATTGTGCCCAGGCTCCCTGCTGCTGCTTTTCATGTGTTTCTGCTTCAGTCAGCTGCAGCGATCTCTCTTTTGCCTGTATACTAATCTTGATGTATAGATGGAGGGTAAAAGTGAATTTTGCTGACCTTCAACTACGCTCACTGGTGAAAAGTTGGCTTTTCTACTGTTAAATTGCCTGGTAGCTTTAACTAAGATTAGATGACTTTGCCAGTGTGAAGGAGGTAGTGATGCCAGAGTTGGCAGCAGCATCATACCACACTTAAAATGTCAGCTCTGGCTGTAAGGAGATAAAAACTTCACAGTACTGATTCCTATTATTACTGTCTAAATGTGCTGATGTTTTTCATTCTTAGTCCTATCGACCCACTTTTTGGGGACAAGTGGTAGTTTTTCTAACACTTCCATGTTACAGCAGTATTGAACACTAATAAGTAATGATATATTGTGGTGTTAAGTTTCTTGTTCTTTGGTTTAAAAAGTGATTTCTAGAAGAATTTTTTAAGAGAAAAGTGAGTACTAAAATAGGGGGTTTTCTGACTCTTGATTTGACCAGTATTGAGTACCATAAAGATTCGCTAGATGGGGAAAACTAGCTACCTTTATTGTGTTTGTCTCGTGCTAGTGTTCTTGTTTAACTTGGGGTCGTCTTTAGCTTAGCTTTATGATTTTCTTACTGTTACTGTAATAAGCTTTCTGCTTGAAGATCAGTTGTTTCCGAAGCAGTGCTGTCAAAAAAACTTTCGTTCTGTCCCAATTCTTGTTTCTGCCAGATTTTAGAGGATGACACATTCAGAGGATAAATTGCTGTTTAAATTTAACAATATAACTTTTTTTTTTAAATAGAAGTGGTGCTACTTGACAGTAAACTGAGTGGAAAAGTATAGAGCAAAAATCTGTTAAGTGAAAGATTCAAACTGTTTCTCTTTCATATACTTCATAGCAAGAAACTTACATGTGCAGGCTACTAGTAGCTACTAAAATAACTTTGGACTATTTTTTGAGAATTTGGGAGAGGTATATAGATGATCAGTAACTGCTGGCATGTAATTATGCAGCCGTCTGACATTTGGTAGTGGTTATGATGTTCAGGAACCTCTTTTGTGTCTCCTCTGAACAAAGAAATTTCTGCCCTTATAAAGCCTGTTATGTTATTAGGATTAACGAGGCTTTCCTTATCTCATACTTAATGGTTATAATTTCAGCCAGAAGAACAAGGAAAGGTGAGAGCCATTAGAGCTGATGGGTTATTGAACAGGAGCACAGGGACAAAATGAGAGGAGAGCTGTTGTCTACAGAATTTCATCAAAATGAAGGGTGTTTGGTCTCATATTCCTTCTGTTTCCAGATCTCCTGTTATTTGGGTGAAGTGAAGTTTTTAACTTGTGTTGTCAGGCTTTTCTCCTAGTTGGGAATAAAACCATTCAGGGGTTTTTGACTGTTGCTTTTATTGGCCTTAGAATGAAAGGTCTTTGGATAGTAGTAGAGCTGTATTTGGACAGGCTTCTATAGATTAGTATGCTGAACTGGAATTCAGGTAGTCTTGACTCTTTCAAAAGGCATTTCAACATCTGAAACATGTAGGTAAGCTCTGCTGCAGTGGAGTAGCAGCTTGTCTATACATACTAAAGAGCTTCAGGATCCATCTTCTGTTAACTCCAGTTTAGCATGAATTGTGAAATTCTGAGCATCCAGATCCAGGTTTTAAACTGCCGCTATGGCACACCAGTTATGCTTTTTCATATCAATATTGTTTTAAGTGATCTGCAGTGCACCATCCCTTCCCACTACAGAGGAATGTGATCTTGTGGAGACCTGCTTGAAGTGCCCTTCAGCTCCTCTGCTGCTATCGGCCATTAACAACTCTGTTGTATGAGTAAAGACCCAATGTACGCAAAGATTGCAAACGTGCCCCAGAAGATTTGTTCAGATCTAGTCTTGTGTTGTGGAAGTGAGTGCATCCTAGAAAAGAGCTATACATGATTAACTAGCTTTGACTCTTACTTATAATCAGGTAGTAATCCTTTTATTGTCCTAAATTCAATTAAAACCAATTATTTTTCTTAGAGCCTTCTTTGTTCTTTAAAGGTAAGAAAATATATGGTTCGGTGTTTGAGGATTTTTCTTAAGTTGAGTTTTATAATTTTTAAATTAAATGATGAGGAAAATATATACATATTACGCATTCAGGAGAGGATGGGGATGTAGATGTGAGATTTATACATTTGACTGTGTCTGGCTTTGGGCTTCTTAGTGCAAGAAAGATGTTAATTTATTTGAGAAAGTTCAGTCGAGGCCACCAAGATGGTCACAGCACATGACTTGCGAGGAGAGTCTGAATGAACTGAGCTTGTTCAACAGGAAAAGAGAAGGCTTTGGGGGGACTTACTAGTAATCTTGTGTAACTTTTTGGAGGTTACGAGAGCCAGGCCCGTTCTCTTGCTGTGCTACTCGGTCAAGAGAGACAATGGTCATAAACTTCTGGTTCTGACTGGCTATAACTAAAACTTTACACTGGGAGGCTCATTAAGCACTGGAGCAGGTTGCCCAGAGAGGATGCGAAATCTCTCTTTTGAAGTCTCTAAGACTTGACTGGCTGAAGCCGTAAGTAGCCTGGTCCAAATCTGATGTCGACCTTGGTTTGAGCAGGAGATTGGACTAGGTGATTTCACAAGGCTGTTTCAAACATGAAGGGTTCTGCAATTATGCTTCCATAATTTTGTCCTCTCCCCTCACTTGTGGCATTTATAGCTTAACATTAGTACCTCTGCCAGTATCCCCCTGCCCCTGCAGTAGGCTTCCGTCCACGGGTAACAGTGTGTTTGTTTTGCACTGAAGATGGAGAAACCCTTTCTCTATGGCATCTGTGATGTTGAAGAAAGTATCTCACCTTTGCTGTTAACAACTCTATTTTTTTTTTCACTTATGTACTATATGTTAACTCTTGGAGATAACTTTAGTACTCTAAATTGGCTTCCTACCAAGCAGAAGACTTCTGCCTACATATCGGAGTGGTGCTTGGAAGACGGTGTATATCAAACTGATTGAATTCAAACTTACATTGATGTCTTGTATACTAGGAAAGTTCTGTGGTAGTCTTTGCAAATAACATCTTGTAGAAGGTGGAGGCTCTTGGAGTAGTTGCTTTAAAAAAAAAAAAAGTAAATTGGGTACAAGTTCTTCGAATTTTTTCCTGGATCTAACAGTAAAGTAAAGCTTGGTAGTGTCAGGCAGTCTTCTGCAGTGGCTCTGTAGGTAGAACCACTTATTTAAAGCTATCTGACACAACTATAAACCCTTAAATTTTAGTTGATTATTTACTCTGGTAAACTTCAACCATTTGAGTTGAAATCTTACATGCTGGATCTGTCCCAGGTGGACTCTTATTAAAAAAAAAACCAAAAACCAAAAACCAACAAAAAAACCCCAAAACCACCACGTGATGCATCTTCCTTCGCCTAACTGTGAGAAGTTAAATTACCTGAGTTCTGAACTTAGATCTCTGGATATCCCTACAAGTGTAAATTTCTCCCACATAACCATCCTGAGCAAGTTGTAAGTGACACTGCAGAGATGTAGCCAGACTTTTCTGCAGTTGCTGCTTTAGGCCAGCTGGAACTAAGGGCAGGCAACTGCTTGACTTCACAAAGTGTAACAAACTGGTGAAACAGAAGTATGGAGCTCTTGCATTTGTCAAGGAGATGGCAACTACTGCTGTTCAATTTCTCATAAAGAACTCTTCTACTAGTCTGCGGCCAAGCCTCTTACTAGAAAATGCTGTATTGTAACAAACTTGTGTTAGAGCAGATCTTTTTTCTGATCCTGCTCTCAGCATGGATTGCTTGGCACCCTCTCACCCTGCTCTGCACCTTACTTTTGATGAATTTTAGCAGAAATTGGCTGGCTGAGCAAAACTGGATTAATTCCCACTTGCCTCCATTTCCATGTGTTGCTGTTGCAGAGTTCTAGCAAAAGGAGATGAAATTATGTAACTCATCTTGTTGTCTTAAAATTACTTTGGAAGAATCTTCTGGTAATCTGATAAAAGTAGATGATCCTGATTACCTACTGATAGTTGTTAGAGGCTCTTTAAGTGTGATAGTACTGCCAATGCGGAAACAGTCTTTTGGAATGGACAGACTGCAGGACTGGTTTTACTTGTAGCTGAACCAGAAGAGCTACTAGTTTTACATTATCTATTAGAGGCAGTCTTACTTAACTTGGTTGTCTTCAGGGCATACAGCCTTTTCTGTTCATGTTGCTCTATTTTTGTGTGTTGCTAAACTTCTCTAAGCAACCTATAATATAGTGATTTTTTTTTTTCCCAAGCTAGAGAATGGGATTTTTTTATTAAGTTGGCTGCATTGCTCTAATGATGTATTGTCACTGTTTTGTCATATACAGTATAACAGATTCTGAAAGCTCTTTTTATTTTCCAATAGGCTGGTGCTTGGGATGCTGTATCCTGCATATTACTCATACAAAGCTGTGAAGACAAAAAATGTGAAGGAATATGTAAGTCACATTCCTTTTAATTGCTTAATTAAATGCCTCTGCTGACATACAACTGTGAAATTTTCATTATGCAGTGCAATAAATCATATGAAAACTTGATTCGACTGTCTTAATATTAGATACAACACCTGTGTGAATGTAGTGGTAATCCTGTGATTTTGTTTGGAGAGCTGAAGTTAAGGTTTCTCAGACTTTTCATAGACTTTACTGAAACGTGTCCAACATGCTATGCTGTATACAGGCATTTTTAGGAGGATTTTTAAACTTAAACCTTGAAGTGTTGGCTGCGTTTCGGTGAAGTGCCTAAAATAATGCACTTTTGGGCAGGGGGTAGAAAAAAGGTTTCCTAATTTTACCAACACCTGTAGTATAAGCAATGACAAATTGATTCTTAGTGACCACTTGAACAGTAGCAGCAGTTTAATTGTCATTGTATGGAGCTCAACAGGGGATTCAAAATCTACCTGAGAAAGGAATAGCTCTGGTTAATCTATCATTCCTCAAAGAGGAGAAAAAATGTAACCAGGGAAGGAAAAGATTTGGTTAAGGTGACGTGGAAGCAGAACAGACAGAAGAGTTAGGTGGAGGAAAAACTTGTAGTTACTGCAGTTTAGAATGAATCTGTTTAAATTATTTACTTTTCAGTGTGAGCAATGATGATTACCACAGAATGTTACCCAGTTGTAGTCACAAGGAGCTTTGGTCACTGAGTTACTTCCCTGTTTTTAAGAGGCAACCTAACTTGATTTCGGCAACTAACCTATATTGGATGGAGTCAGTGTCATCAGTTACTTTAACTCAGCAGCTGTAGCTGTGACCTAATGCTACGGTCTGGATGTGTGATGTCTCTGCTTTGTACTTGGTTGTAGTAGTAGAATGCAGTAGTTGTTGTTCCTCCCCTTGTATGTCTTATGTTTAGTCTGATCACTCCATCAAGGCTCCAAAGTGGACATCATATTCATACTTCTTCTGGTTTCTGTGTACAAGCTGATTAGAGCTTATTTGTGCACATACAGCTAGTGCCTGTCAGAGCTAAGCTTCTGGGAGGAAAAATAATGAAAAATAAGAGAACTTCCTCTGTCTCATGCTTACTTTACCCTGTCAGGAAAGTATACAATGCAAAGAATTTATAATCCGCTTTTCCTCCCTGCTCCCTCAAAAGGGATCTGCAGGCTAAGTAGAGGATAGCAGTTTTGAACACTAACACATGAAATCACTTTAAGAGGTTACCGTTGCTTCTTGCAATATGTTTTCTAGAAAAAGAAAAGTAATGTTTGTAGAATGCTGAGATTTTGACTTATCTCAGTTGTCCAGTTAGCTGTGACTTAGCTGTCTTTCTTGGGCAACTTTTTTCAGAGGTGCCTGTCATTTACAGGCCCTTTAGTAGGGCCTGGAACCATATTCTTCCAACTGTGTATTTTCATTTAGTTTGAAAACACTGCTTTTCAGTCACCTGTGGTGTTTGACAAGTCCCTGAATTTGCGGTTGCATACAAAATGTTCACGGGGCTGAGATGAATGAGACCCATCACAGTGACTTCTTCATGGGCAGGGAATGACATTGATTCATCAGTGAATTACCACTCCATTGCTGGTTGGGTTGAGTGTCCAGATAGATCTTAGGGATGACCCATGTCTTTCATCTTCCCAGCTGGGTCACTTTCTTTCCTGGAGAGCATGTAGGTGTAACTGCAGTCTTCTAAATGGCACAGCCCTGCTGCCAGTCATGTTATGGCTCAAGCACAGCTTCCTTTCCAAGGTTATGTGTGGCTCAGGAGCCATCTCTTTTTGTTTGTTGGATTGCAGGAGCTTTATAACAGTGAAATTTTTGACTTAGCCACTGCTTCCAACAGTAAAAAAAAAAAAAAAAAAA